CTGAATTCTTTAATTAAAATTGTTTATAATCTCGTCTTTCAAGTCTTCATACTTAATAGATTTGTTTAAGTCTAACGCGTAAATTTGGTAAAGTTAAGAGTTAGACAGATCCTAATGTTTTGACCGCAATAAGTTGCAGTTAGAAATTTTAAGTAGAAACTTGATAACGTGACCACCTGGAGTTAAAGAATTTCACAATAACAATATACTAAAATAAGATAATGAGCTACTTCTATAATTTATTATGTTAGCTCTATTTTTATTTTAAATTTCAATTTCTCTATTAGTTTTTCTACTAATTCAAAAATATTAAAAAAATGGCAAATGACAATGATTATTATCCTAAAAGAGATTTTGATTATGAAACATCAGATTCTACTTAGGAATAACAAAATCAAGCATCTGAAAGTTCAAAAAATTTATATAAAACCTTTCATCCACTGCCAACTATTAGAAGACTACCTAATATTCAGATAACACTTTCATTTTCTGAAAGGTTTTTAGATAAAGATAAGCTTACTTCAATATAATTTTCAGTATTTATTTGCTAATAATTTCTTATTTATCTACTTTAAGCAAAGAAGTTAACACATCATTATTTGCTAATTCTAAAAGTAAAAGTAAATACAAACATAAAAAACCATCATTTACTCAAGAATACTTTGAAAAGAAAGTTAATGATAAAGGTGAAATTTTTCAAATCTATAATATTTTGAATGAGAGTGATAAAAAATGTAGCCAAGAATATAAAATTTCTGAAAGTTCAATAGGAAATCTCATTGCACATATTAGAGATAAACATAAGATTATTTCATAAGATAATGATACTATTTCAAAAAGGTATTGTAAGTATACTTATTATTAAAGATGGTCCCCATAATTATTTTCAAATTTCAATTGAGTTGCAACTTAATTGCGCCATAAGGAAATTTAATTGTACCACAAGTTGCAACTCAATTGTGCCATTTTTTTCAATTGCAGTGACCATCTTTACCTATTATATATTATTATTAAATTAATTGAAACTCACAAGAATTTTATTTATTTTTAGTTACAAAATTTCAAGATTACTAATTTTATATGAAATTTCCATTCCATTCTAAACATATTCAAAAAAAGGTAAAGAAATAACTCTCAAGTGAATGTTGCTTACAAATTAATCTTTTTTTGCAGTTACTAATGATGTTTATAAAGAAAAAATGGCTGAATTTAATCCTTCTTTTGTCATTCTAGGAGAATAAAAAATTAGAACAATAATCACTAAAAATTATTAATACAACTAAAGATGGTCTCCATAATTATTTTCAAATTTCAATTGAGTTGCAACTTAATTGCACCATAAGGACATTTAATTGCGTCACAAGTTGCAATTCAATTGCGCTATTTTTTTCAATTGCAGTGACCATCTTTAAATACAACTGGCAAAATTTGCAAAATTTTCTTATTATAATTAATAGTAATATTTCTCTTATTATAGATCTCTGGTCCAGTAGAACCAAACACAGATATCTAAAAGTTACTGTAACTTGAATTACATCAATTTTTGAAATTAAAGATACTATGCTAAAAATCAAATATGTTTCTTCTTTACATACAAGCGAAGTTATTGTTAATGAATTTCATAAATGTATTGAAACTTGGAAGCTTGAAAATCATATAACATCTATTACCACTGACAATGAATCAAATATGGTATCAGCTTTTTCTTTATTAAATAAAAAAAATGGGTGTGAAAATATTCAGCGTCTTTCTTGTATAGCACATACCTTACAGTTGGTAGTTGAAAAAGGATTAGTTTTGGTAGAAATTTTAGTAATTCGTGCAAAAAGGCTAATTAGTTCTTTAAATTTCAGAAACAAGTGGAAAGATTAGAGGGGAACAAAGAAAACTTGGTTATTCAGATATTATACACTGTATTTAGGATGTGCTTACATGCTGGAATTAAACGTATTATGCTTGGGACTGCCTTTATTTTTTAAGGATGCCATTACTCAACTTCAAACTGATTTATTTATATCAACTGATCAAATGATTAAGAAAGATAGTAAAAGATTAAAGAAAATTTTGCTTTCCGAAGATGAATGGAAGTTACTGAACCAACTTGTTGATTTACTTTTGCCATTTGAAGAATTAACTCGTGAATTATCCAGAAATTCATATGTTACTTTAAGCTGGGTTATCCCAACTATTAAGAAAATGATTTTTGATTTAGCTACTGAAAGATTAATAGATAATGATGAATTTTCAAACAAAGATACTGTATTTGGATCAGAATCTTCAGAGATACTTAACTTTGATGATGATGATGAAGTTGTGAGTAATATTACAAAAAAAAAGATTTCAATTAAAAATCCATTAAATACAACAGGCATTTTGGAAAAGGTAAAACAAAATCTCTACAGTGCGCTAATATATTATTGGGATTTTCAATATGATATTGGATTAATGGCAGCCTTGTTAGACCCTTGCTATAAAAATTTAGATTTTTTAGAGGATGATACTGAAAAGCAACGAATCATCCAAAATCTTCGCAATGAATTTAATGAGATTGGAATATTAACTTGTGATTCTGATCCACCAAATAATCAAACTCCGTCAAATATTGATATAGGATCCTCAACACGTTCACATAAAGCTTATCGTCAACAGCGAAAAACAAAAAATAAAAAGATAGTACCAAGTATAATTCAAGATGAAATTACAAATTATCTGTCATTACCAATAGCATTAGAAACGGAAAATCCTTTAGATTGGTGGAGACCTCAGCTCAAACGGAATAAAATATTCCTATTCTTGGATATTTATTTCCTGAATATAAATAAAATAAAATAAAATAAAATATAAATATATTATATAATAAAGATTATGTCTGCAGAATTTTCCCAAACTTAGCAAAATTGTCCGAAAATACCTTGCTATATCAGCAACATCAGTATCCAGTGAAAGGTTATTTTCGGATGCTGGTAATCTCATTAGTGCCAAAAGAACAAATTTAGATACAAATTTAGTGAGCCAAATGTTATTTTTAAAGAGAAATATTAAAACAATGGATTATGAATTTTTAGTATTGTAAATTCGTAAGTTGTAACAATAGTGAATAATGCATCATTATGTGATTAATCCGAATTGTTATAGATTTACGAATGGAATCCGAATTTAGGTATGCATCCGTAAAGTTTTTAAATTCGGATTGCAAATCGGATATAACACAAGGAACTTAAATTTGATCCGAATTACCCCTGAAAAATCGGATCGAATCTCTATTCAGATGATTCTTTGAAAAAATTAAATATGATACATTTTAAAGGAAATTAAAATAATAAAATTAATTTTGTTATCCGCAGAATGATGATAAGCCGCAGATATTCCGGCAGATTTGCGAAATTTCGCCACCGGAGATCTATATCCTTTTTTAATTTACGGAACAATTCATTCTGATTTTTAATTGGCTAAAAAAAATTTTGTGAAAATCCGGATCGAAACATATTACATTATGCGTAGTATTTCATTTTGTTTTTTGTTTACCTTATTTAGACCGAATGATGTAATACACTCCCCAATAAAAAGTATCCGACCGGTTATTAAGACTAAAACCGAGTTGGAGGTTGTTACAGCTATAATGTCTGGATTTTGTATAAAAAATTCTTGTGGTGTCGGGGCAATTGAACGAAAGGTAGAATTTGAGTTAGACATTTTAAATTAAACGCGGCAAATTTTTTAAAAAAAAAATTGCGTTTATCGTTATCTCATAAAATCAGCTAATCTGAATTAATATATTAAGGTGAGTAACAAGCCTCTCAGCAAATGTACGATCCTTCACCTGCTCCAGCATGGAATTTTCTTGGCAGATATACAAAAATCATATCAAGATTCATTGGCGCAGCAAAAAACTGAAAGCCGAATTTTAAGCATACAAAAATGTTGATCGCTTTGAACAGGGCTTATCTTTCCAAAAATCTTTCATTCTTTTCTTTCATTATGATATGTAATTATCGGTGTTCGACGAAGCCAAGAAAAAAAAAAATATATAAATACGCTTGATCTTGATCAAATAACCGCAACACATAAAGGATCAATCTTTATTCAGAGAATAATAATAATAAAAGCGAGTCCCAAATAACAAAAAAAAAAAAAAATAATAATAAATACATATAAAACTTATACATATAAATCAATTCTATTCAATATAATAATAACAAAATGACTAATTATTCCTCTATTTTTCAACCTTTCGTTGGTTTATTCACTCAATCGCAAGTGCAATCAATGCTTTTTGCATGGCTCCCAACAAAATTAGGATCATACCTGCCTGGAATAATGGCTGTCGATATGTTTTTGACAAACGTTTTAGCTACAGGAATCAGCGCTTTGATCCTTGCATTATTCGCGGTAACTTATTCTATCTTTAAAGAAGGTTCATGGAGAACGGGAAAAATTGTTACAGCTCAGGTTGAATATTATATCGCAGGAACCTATGGTTTTCCATACCCAAATCCAATTTACGAAGCTCTGTCTTGGATGACCTCTCAACAAACAAAATCGTTAAATACCGGTTCATTTATCATACAACCTACAAATTCTATGACCTATAATTATATTGATGATTGCGCTCCTCCTGACTTTAACGTTCTTCCAGATAAAGATCAACAAATTACCGTCGAGTTTAAAGGAAAAAGGTTCAAAGTTAAATTTACTCTTCCCGAACAAGTTAATAATAATGATAATAATAATATTAATAATAATATTAATAATAATATTAATAATATTAATAATAATAAATTCGAAATGATAAAACCTTCGATTTATTTGACGACCCTTGAGGATTCGAGTACAAATGTTGATGCCATAACGGAATTCTTAAACCAAGTTACGCGAGCTCATAAGGAACATCAGAAAAAGATGCAAGTACGTTCTAGGTATGAACGAACTGAAACGTATTGGGCTCCCGTGCAAATTTTATCTTCAAATAGAGGTTTGGATACCGTTGCATTAGATGAACCGCATGAATTATTACTAAGAAAAGAATTAGAAACGTTCGTACACGATAAAAGTTTCTACGAAAGAATTGGTATGCCTTATCGACGTGGTATCCTATTATATGGAAAACCAGGAACGGGAAAAACCAGCTTGATAAATGCTATCTCTTCACAATTATCTCGTGATATTTATTACTTAAATCTCAAAAACTTTAAAAGTGATAATGAATTAAATTCCGCAATTTGCGAGATTCCCGGCAATAAAATCATTGTGCTTGAAGATGTTGACACACAATCAAAAGTTATTCATAAACGAACTGGAAAACGGTTCCCATCCAAAAGAACCATTATATCTTCCGATAAAAAAGAAAATAAGGGTGAAGGCGTGGGTCCAAAATTGGATAATAGTTCAAAATTTAGTTTATCAACTTTCTTGGGATTTTTGGATGGTCATACCTTGTCCGAAGGGAATATTATCATCATGACGACAAATCACTTGGAACATCTTGATCCTGCTTGTATTCGTCCTGGTCGTATGGACGTGCAACTTGACCTTGGTTATTGTACTCATTATCAAATCAAAAAGATGTATAAAAGTGTGGTCGAAAGTCCCAAAGCTGAATTCCCTCAAGATATTCTTGAAAAAATTCCGGAACGTTTGTTGCCACCTTGTGAAGTTATGATGACTATGGTTTTATATCGTAATGAAATTGATCTCATTCCACAAAAGGTTCATGAGTTGGTCGCAAAATACATTAACACGAAACCTGACGATGTTTCCGATGATAGTGGAAGTTCTGAAATATATTCCGATGATAGTGGAAGTACTGAAGATGATAGTGAAAGTACTGATGTATGACCCGATTATATGATAACAAAACTTTGAAAATTTCTTTGCTCAGCATCATAATCCTTCATTGTTTTAGACTAGTTAACTAACTTTGAATTTTGAATTTAACTAAATTATATTAGTTATTTTTCTTTTTTGATATTATTACAATTTTTCTTAAGTACAGTAATAGGGTTTCCGTTTGAAAATAGTATATTCGAATATTCATTTGTAAATAAATAAAATTCAAATATTCGAAAATATATAATTAATATTTGAATATCGAAATGATTCGGATATCGAAATTGATTTCGAATATCGTCAATTCGATCGATCTTATCGATCGATTTTTATTTTTTTCGTCTTTCATTCTTTTTTTTTGTAATTTGGTTTTTTCGATATATTTTTTCTTCGATCAATTCATTTTTTTTATTTAATTTATTTATTTTTTTTTTTATATATTCTTTTTCGAAATGATTTTCGATTTTTTTGAAATTAATTTCGATATCCGAAATCATTTCGATATTCGTTTGAAATTATTTTAAAAAACTTTCAAATATTTGATATGAAATTTGTATTTCAAACGGAAACCCTACACAGTAATATAATGTAAATCACCGTGTCCTCCATTCTTAGGTTCATCAATAAACCCTTAATTCCTTGTAATCATTTAGAAGGGCATTAATTTTAATAGAATAGATAAAAAAAACTTTTTTTCCTAATTCGACCTAGATTATCAAAAACATGTCACAAAAGGTTATTAGGTAATTCCGGAGTTTGATCAATCCTATATATATCACATTGATCATCAATATAAGAATCATCTTGGCAACTTTAAAGCAAGAGCTGGCTTTTGTTTTTTTATTTTTCTTTTTTTCAAAATTTCAGTTTTGTTCATTTTTTTCTTTCCCATTTTTTTTTTTAAAGAAAAAATTATATATAATAAAAGAAATATATCATTTTTATTACTATTATTACATTATCAAGATTGAATTTTTAAAATGTCAAATAACCCGTTTTTAACAGAGGAAGATAAGTATCTCGAACAAGGTTCATCGATCGCTGCGCCACCACCAGCCTACGAAGATGTTGTAAGACCAGGCTATAGCGATCACCCGTATGGTTATCCACCAAATAATCAATCATTTCCTCCTCCTTCATTTCCGCCACCGACAGTGCCAAATTATAATCATAATCCATTAGTTTCTGCGGAAAATCATCAACCAAATTCCGCGAATCCTAATGAAAAATCTGGTACGAAACCAATTCATAAAATTATTACACTTTTATACCGCGATGAACTAATTAAAAGGTTAATTAGGATATCGAGTATGCTGTGTCAAATTTTCAAGTCGGAATAAAGCTTGCTGTTACGGTTGGTTGGTCTTGATTACATTCATAATTTTAGGGGTAAATATAATATGATTATGTATATTTATCTATTTATTCGTTTTTGTTTGTTTATAAAATTTCAATTTTTACATATCAACATCTTGTCTTTAGACGATTTCGGTAGCAAATAACAAAGCATGTAGTCAAATACAATTAAATGAAAATCCGGAAAAATTCACCTTTGATCCAAAATTAATACTCAAACTCGATGTGGAAGGTTCTCAACATAAGGTATTCATTTATTTATATTTAGTAGGTTTATCTTATTTTATGTGGATTAAATTATTAATTTGAATTGTTTTCTTTTTAGGTAGATGCAGTTAATGTTTTACAAAATCCATCACCAGATGAAACCAATGTTAATGTTGAAGTGTTTACTGGAAGTAGCAGTAGAGTGACTCCTCAATTTGAAAAAACAATTCAAAACGATAGTTTTGTATTAAGAGTTTTCCAAAAAGTTGGGTTTGGCGTTTTTAACATTCCACCACGTTGTATGCGATTGAAAATAAATGTAATCCTACCACAAGGAAATGCTGGCAACCCAACTTTTAATAATATACAAGTCAAGGAACTGAACCTTAAACTTATTAAAGATGAAAGTGATAAACCATATCAACAAAGCATCGGTTTATCTACTGTCGAAGGGGATATACAATTAGAGGAAATTAAAGGAAATATCATCGACATTAAAACTCAGGAAGGAAATGTTGGAGGATCAATATTATCTCTTTCAAAAGAACTTAGTGTTTCGACTGATGATGGTAATGTGGACTTAAATTTGGGAATTGCTCCAAATGCAATGGTCATGTTACAAACTGATAACGGAAACGTTGGATTAACAATGGTAAATAAAGCATAAAAATTAAATGAAAATATTTTCTTTTTTATTAATTTATTAACCGTATTTATTTCTATTTCAACAATAGGTTGAAAGCTCATTCGCTTATAAAGTTCGGACAAACGATGGTAACATTAGAATAAATGATGAAATGATAAATGGATTATCTAAAAATGGTATGGCGGGTGATGGAAAGTCAATTGTGAATATTATAACTGATGAAGGAAACATTAGGTTAAACTATTGATGAGAGATTTGGAACTTTACGTCTTGTACATTTTTGTTTTACATCAACAGGGTTTTTATTATTAAATATAGTATATCTCATATTGTATAATTATTAGTGACGTGTAAAAATATAAATAAATAAATTAAATGCTTTCCACATTATTATTACGTACAAATGTTTTAAATTAATTCAGTATGTCTATTAAAGAGAAAAAATATCTATCATCTCAAAAATTAAACATTAATAAATTAAGTTAAATAATAAATATAACAAATTCTGAATATTTCAACTACACAAGGCGAGATCTCAACTTTTTTTCACTAAATTAAATTAAATTGGTTTTGTTAAAGTCAACAACATTAATTAGTACACTCGGAAATCACTTGCTTAAGCACTAAATCATCGGCAGTAGTGAATAAAGTTCCAGGATACACTTTACTTCCCCATTTAGGATGCAATAAAATATGACAACATCCTGCATTATGGAGTTCATATTTTAATAGTTCTACGGCTCCTTGAACGTCCGGATAAATTGCTGGTCCGGGATCAGAGAAAATCTTTAACCAAATCACGTCTTTTTGTTAAAACATATTTAAGCTCGGTTTAAAAAATAGAAAAAAAAAGATAATTACCGGGTATCCAGAACAAGGATCCGTTAGGTCGGCCCAATACCCACGATTTCTCAATTTATGACAAATCTCTTTTCCCCATTCAACAAACTACAAATTTGATAATTATTTTTTTTTAAAAAAATATAATATATGTATCTATATACACAACACATCAAAAATAAATTTTTCTTTTTTATCACTTACAACTTCAAGCTTTTCATCTTTTTCGTGATCTATAACAGCACCAATACCAACTAAATCATGTTCACATTTTAGAAAAGTTGGTATAACGAGACATTTTTCAATATCTTCAACTTGAGGAAAAATACATTTGAGTTCTCTATTAAACCTATTAGAAGCCAAATGAACGGAATATTCTAAAATGAAAGGTTTTTTGGTTTTTTTATCTATCGTTGTGACAAGCGTTGGAGGTAAAATTGTTACAGAACGTTTATTTCGTTTCGATGTTGAAGAAACGATCGATTGTTTGGTTGGAATAAGATTTGATGCTAACGATTCCATAATAAAAAAATTTTTTTTTAAAATTAATTTTTATAAAGCTACTTTATATACTAAATAAATAATTTCTCGATTGATAAGATATTACATAATCTCGAAGCATCGGATCAAAATAAAATTTAACTTAAATGGAAAATTGATTTCTTTTTAAAACTAAGTTGAAATGTAGAGTGAATTTGAAAGGGGATATTATAATCAATAGCATGTGATCTGCATGATAAAAACATGTTTTACCTTTTTAACAACTTCGTTCTACACAACACAACATCTTTTCTTTGTTATTTTGATAAATAGAAGCATAAATAGTTCGAGTAACCGAACAATGAACGATACATTTGATTGGTTTATTAAATAGTATCGGGATTAATCAAAAATGTTAAACATTTGCAATAAATTCGTTTGTTAAGTCCGGAACTTTATCTAGACTTTTGTGCAATTTCAAGAGCCAATCAGCATCGACTCAATTATTGAGCGGGAGAATCGTGTAACCAAAACCTGCACAATTTTGTAAGAAACCCTGGTATTTTACATGGGTTTTTTTTTGAACCGCGATTTTATTGATTTTTATTTATTAATTTATAACCGAATTTTTATTATAATTACTGTATTAGAAT